ACTCCGACGCCGAGAAGACGTACTACGTCCCAACGTGCGCCATTGTCGAAGACGACAACTACAGACTGGACTCAGACGAAAATGGCCAATATGTCTAACTTTGCTTCACTGCAGATATCTCAAAGGTAATCCTGTCCGAACAACAGCGCGATACCAGGTGCCGACCGTGTGACCACTATGCGAGTATACGTTGCCGCCGCTGCGAAGCGAGCTGCGGTCGTCAAGGGGGGGCGACCTTCTCGCGAGAGCTGACGTCCAGGCGAATCCCGATAAAGTACCGAAGGCCACCTACGCTGAACTCAGGGCATGGTTCGATCGCAAGTGTTTCAAGGTGCAAGATGCAGCTAAAGTGTCGAACATCACGACTTCAAGGTACGCGTGCAAATGGAAGTTTGTGAAGAACGAGAAGGGCGAGATGGAACGTGCCATCAGATGGCGCCTCGCAGTCCGAGTCTCCATGGACCTCGAAGCTTTCGACGGGGAGACCTTTTCGGGAACAGCGCGGCGGTCGAGCCAGAGGTTGCTCGCTAGCGCCGCGGCGTGCAAGCAGCAATGGATCATTGCTTCCCTCGACATCAACGTGGCCTTCCTGAAGGGGTTGGCCTATCAGGGACTTGCTGAGGCTACTGGTGGAGAGGAACGTGTGGCGTGTTGCGCTCTGCCGCCTGGATCGGCCACAGCGCTTCGAACTCCCCCAGGATTCGAACACGCTTGCAACCAGGCACGGGCGCCAAAGACGCACCACGGGCTTTTCCCACTAAAACTCAGAAGGACCACCGGAGATTTTGGTCTCCGGCCCACGCCCTACGACGAGGAGCTCGAGACGAGCAACAACCTGCTCACGGCCAAACATGTTGGTGATATCAATATGGCCAGCGCTGAGGACACCATTGACAAGTGTGTCAAATGCGTAGAAGACACTTTTGGTAAGTGTAAACTCAACAAGCACACGTGCACCAACTGTGCTGTGATATACACCAAGGATGAGGGCGGTCATGTCACCTTGTACCAAGATGAATATTTCAAGCAGCGCCGTACTATGCAACATCCTGAACTTGCCGGCGCCGGCGCTGACGCTCAGGCATCCAAGATGGTTGCAGACGTGTTCGTCAGCCTCAGGGGCGCGTTGGCGTATGCATTAATCACCCAGGTGTGGTTGATGGTGCATGTTGTATCTCTACAACGTGTCCAAGAACCGACCAACATTCAAGTGCGACGGCCGAGCGCGATCACCAGGAAGTTGCAGGCCTGCCCACAAAAGATCGCCTTCCCTGCGATGACTCCCGCGGGCGAGGTTGACCTGCACATCGGCTCAGGATGCCGACGCCTGAGTGGAGACGCCCATGGCGACGTCAAAAGCTATCGTATTCGCGGGGCAAGCCTGCTACGACGTGGAAACACGTTATCCGGTAAACGTGTCGTTCACATGATCGATGCGGAATGCAAGTCTCGCCGCTTGCAGGTCCGCTCGAGCTATTCAGCAGAGACGCTAGCAGCAGCCCGTAATTTGGAGGACTGTTGTCCTACGATTGTGACTCTGCACGAGCTCCACGCAGGGCCACTCACGCCCACTCAGTTGAAATATATACTTGAGTTGGGTGGCCTGAGCATCAAGGTCACTTTGACCATAGATGCTGAGTCTGTTTTTAAGTCCTTGTCAAGCAAAGACTTGAAGTAGCCGACTGAGTGTACCCTTTTTAGGCCACATCAATTGGATACGACAGATGTCGGAGCGTGGACGCGTGCACAGTATTCAGTGGTGCGACACTTGCGACATGATTGCGGATGGTCACACCAAGGGGAGCATCGACAGATAATTGCTCCTACAAGTCATGGCAGGTATACAGGCCTTTAAACATGACCTGCAGAGTCATACTCCATATCGGGTCGGCCAGACATCCAGTTCTAACGCCGCCTGAGGAGGTTTTTTTTGTGCAGAACTGTACAAGCAAGGCAACTTGCTAGCGGGTCCACCTTCCTTCTGGCCCGCCTCTTTTCTGTCCTTGTGTGTATTGGCTGCTGTGCCTGCTGTGTAGGGGCGACGGGGCCACGTTTCGTCTCCCCCCCCCCCCGACTCTGAAGCGAGCTGAGGGGCGCAAGGAACGGAAGCGAGCGTGCGCCCACGGCCGCGTCGGCTCAAGCGGCCGGCCGCCCAAATATGATTGTGCCTCATCGCGGGGTGCACAGTCGCTATCGAGACCAAAAGGATCTTCCTATTGCTTAAGATGGCACATCCTCTCCTACTCGGACTATCGTTATTACGGTACAACAGAGCTGGAACTAGGCTTCGCTTAAGGCGAAGCTGTTGGCTGGGCCTCCCAGCCACCTTCAAACTATCCCTGCTTCTATGTGCTCGTCGCAGCCCTTGCTGGTTTGTCCGGCTCCGGCCACTTCCAGTGTGACGGAACTTCCAACTGCCATTTATTTCCAGCTTCGCTGTAATTTCAGGCGAAGCCAGAATCGATGTGACATTTGTTTTCCAGACCGCGCAGAATTGGGTGCTCCGCGAGGCGGGAAAAACATGGAAAGCCCGAGTTCCGAGGAGTGTGTTTCGCTTCGATGGGAATAATTCGCACGCTTTGGTCGGCGATTTGCCTGATTCCATCCAGTCCGCCAGTGACTCGACCGGCGTGATCGCTTCTCGTTTCGTCGACATGTCTTTGTAGAGGGGGCGGGAACACTTGGGGCAGGAAGAGAAAGGGGACAAGAGGGAAAAACATGGAGGACGAGGAGGAGCCTCCTTAGGGCACTCTTGGGGCAGTCTTGGGCTTCCCGGGCGTCTCCTGAGATCCTCTTGAAGGCCTTTTGGAAGCCTCCTTGGGCCTCTTGGTGGCTGGTCTTGGGCGGTCCTGGCCATTCTGATGCCGTGGAGAGCCGTCCTTCGGGAGGGGAAGAAACACACACAGACACAAAGAATCGTCGATCCCGCCGGACAATACGGGAAAATATGGGAAGTTGGGGGGGAGACGAAAACCCAAAGCATGTATACAAAGTGTGGGAATCTATTGAGCTATTTATTTGTGTGTGTGTCTATTTGCGTGTCCCAAGGCGCCCTCAGTCTTGTGGGCCGCCCTGGGCCGACTCGCGGCCTGCGCTCTTCCGGGCCGTCTCTCCTGGATGCCATCTTTGGGGTTTTGGAGGCCTCGTGGGCCGTGTTTGGGGCCTCTCGGGCAGTCAAATGGCCAAGGCCGTGTGCAGGGAGCCGAAAGATGACATAAACATGAAACCTCGGTGGTCCGCGCTGATTTCTTGGATCCGCGCTGGACCCCCCTCCCTGGCGCGCGGAGCGCGCCAAGGGCGGCGTCGGAGGCGCCGCCAGGGGGGTCCGGCGCGGATCCGGGAAATCCGCGCGGACCTCCGAGTTTTTATGTTTATGTCATTCTTCGTTCCCATAATTTTAGTTCTTGGGTGCATCGTGGGCCGTCCTGGAAACATATTGCGGCCATCTTGGTCTCCCTGGGGGCCACCTCGGATCTTGGCCGTCTTGGAGGCCGCGTCGGCCGTCCGGGAGGCCCTCTCGGGGCCGTGTTGTGCTGAAAGACCGACGGAGTACGAAATTGGCGGGTCTTTTCGGGCGGCCAGCGGGTTGGGCCGAGACTCCATTGGGATGTCACCAACAAACAGAAATTTCAATGCGTCTGGCACGCTGTGCACCCCTGTGGCAAGTCGCAGGGGGCGGCGGATCCGATGGGCTTCGGCCCATCCGCCACCGTGCCTACAGGTTGTCGAGAACTCCTGGATGCCTGTGGGGCTCTCTTGGAAGGTCTGTTGGAGGCGGTTTTTGGAAGGTCTTGGCGCCGCTCGGGGGCCTCTTCGGGGCCTCTTCGGGGTCTCTTCGGGGCCTCTTCGGGGTCTTTTCGGGGCCCCTTCGGGGCCTCGGGCCTGATTTGGGCCTCTTTGGGGCCCCATCGGGCTTTTGGAGGAGGCGGTCCTTGGTTGCCTGCTGTCGGTCTTGGGGGGGGAGGGCGCGACATATGATTTCGAATTGTCCTTCTTGAGGCCATCTTCTGACCGTCTTGGGCCGTCTTGGGTGCTTCTTGGGCCGTCTTGGGCCCTTCTGGGGCCAGAAGGGGGCATTCGTGGGGATCTCTTGAGCCGTCTTGGGGCGATCTTGGAGGCTTCTGGCGCCGTCTTGGACGCTGTGAAGGCCCAAAGGGCGAGTGTGCCAAACATATGCATTCCACCACGTGATTGGGGCGATTCTCTCCTCTTGGGGCCTTTTGGGGATGGTCTTGGAGCGTCTTGGAGGCCTCTCTGGGCCGCCTTGGAGGCCTCTTGGACCCCCGTGAGGCAGTCTTGGGGGTCCCTGGAGTTATTTTGGGTCTTTTTTGGACCCTCCTGTGCTGTCTTGGAGCTTTCCTGGGCCGTCGTGGGGTCCGTCACGGAGCGATTCCGGAGCGTGCCGGGACGCTTTGGCACGGCCGCGGCGCCCGCTGCATCGCCCAGACCCACCGGAGATCTTCGACTGGTATCTCCCTCCTCCCCCTCCGCCTCCTCCTGCTCCTCCTCCTCCTCCTCCTCCGCCTCCTCCTCCTCCTCCTCCTCCTCCTCCTCCTCCTCCTCGTCGTCTGCCTCCCGCCGCCGTCTCGCTCGTGCTTCTGTGGCAGGGCTGTGGTCTTCGTGAGATGGACGGTGGAGAGACGGGGCACACTCGTGGGGAGGAGGATTCGGATCGAGTAGCCATCGGGGGTGGACAGACCTCCTACCCTGACATGTCGATTAGCGAATTGGCTGTTTTCGGTTCGCGAGAGGGCGTCGCGGCCGTCATTTTTGCGGGTCCAGGTCCGTCGGTTTCGGCTCGAAGGCCGTTTCCACGAAAGGGTGGTTTACTAAAGGGAGGTTTGTCCACCGCCGACGCCATCGCGCTGCTGGCGCGCGTCGTGGTGGGCCCGTGCGGGCACGGGGTGGTTCCCTCGGGGGCCGCTTCCAAGGAAGCAGAGCGCGGAACGAGGAGGACGGAGAAGGGAGGACGATGTGGTTCTGGAGACCCCCCCTTCGAGGAGCTTCTGTACAAGTGCGGCAATCGGGCGGGAACACGGGCATCAATGACACGCTGCCGGTGAGAGCGCGTCTTGCGTGCTGTTGTCGTCTTCTTGGCTACTGCCCTGGTGTCTTCTCAACCGTATTTTTTTCATGTGTATTTACCGCGGATCACCGCGGCGTGTCATTGATCAGTATCGGTTCACCGATCCCTATCCCCATGCTCATCCCCATCCCGAGCCTCACCATCCCACCAACCCAGTTGGAGATGTAACCCTCGAAACCCGAATGGAACAGCCTACATCCCCATCTAGGGGGGTAAATCGGCCCTTTGGGCCCAGGCCACGCCAGTGGGGATAGGGATCGGTCAAACGATGCTCAATTGTGGTTTTCTTTGCTGCCCAAGGCAAGGTGCCCCGGCACATTGACATCGGGGGGAATCGGGTCCAGCAGCTCTGGAAGGCGGCCGACGCCAACGGCGACGGGTACGTCGACTTCGAGGAGCCCTTTGCATCTCCAGCCGAGGAGGATGAGGAGGAGGAACAGGAGGAGGAGGAGGAAGAGGAGGAGGAGGAGGAGGAGGAGGACGGGGAGGAGGAGGAGGAGGAAGAGGAAGAGGAGGAGAAGGAGGAATAGGAGCAGGAGGAGGAGAAGGAGCAGGAGGAGGAGTCGGAGGCATGGAGGAGGTGTAGGGCACGAGCAGCGAAGGTGAGTATAAGTGGAGGCGCAGGAGGAGGATGGGGACGTCTTACGTATGCACACGAGGAAGGCCATGGAGAGGCACAGAGCGGGAACGTTGAGGAGGATGAGGAGGAGGGGGAGGAGGAGGAGCATGATGAGGACGGCAGGGAGGAGCAGGAGGAGGAGGAGGAGGAGGAGGAGGAGGACGGAGGAGGAGGACGGAGGGGATGACGAGGAGGAGGAGAAGGTCGCGGAGGATGAGGACCGATTGGAGGACGGTGTCGACGTCGTCGCCGTTGGGTCTGTCTCCGAGGAATTCGTTGTCTTCTATCGGCGGTACTTTGCCTCCGTCGGTGGTCGCACCGCTACCGGCTTCGACATGTACTACCAGTCGGCGAAGTGAGCCTCCCGCGATGTCCCCTCGCCGTCTCCTCCGGGGCGACGCGCGTTCCGTTCTGGATGTACACCGCACTCACATCTATACCCCTGGGTGGGTGTATGTGCGGCCGTTTTTGCGCTGTCATGTGCGCGCATGTGCGCGGCATGTGCCAGTCATGTGCCAGGCCTGTGCGGTCCTTCTTGGATGGACTTCCTACTGTGCACGTCGTGCCCGGACATGTGCGGGGGCATGTGCGCTGTGTTTTGATGTATCCATCGTGCGCACATGCACGCACAGTCCGACGCACATGCGCGCACATGCCTGCACATGCGGGAGGTGTTCGAGAATCGCAGATCTGTCATCGGCACATGCACGCACATGCCTGTGCAACCTCTCTTCGGGAGGCCGCGCGGGCCCGCACATGCACGCACATGCGGTGAAGCGCGCGGGCGCACATGCGTGCACATCCCAATGCACATGCACGCTCATGCCCTAGGAGCTGTCTGGGACCCCTGTGCCTCCAATGCCTCCTGGCCTTCGCAGAGCTAACTTGGGGCGTGCCAGGGCTTCCTGAAAGAGTTTGTTGTGCGTTTAGACTCGCCCGCTGCTGGCGGGGGCGGTTATTCGCCCGGTTCGTGAGCTGGCGGTGGCGCGCCCGCCTAATAAAATACTCTCCCGCGCGCCTTCTCAGCTCGGCCGGAGAAGCAGGGATGGGGGGGGGGGTGGAGGGGGGGGGGAGGAGGGGGGGGCGGAGGAGGCGGGCGCCCCCGGCCACTGGCCCGCCTGCCTGTTCGGCTCGGCCAGAGGAGAAGGAGGAGGAGGAAGAGGAGGAGGAGGAGGAGGAGGAGGAGGAGGAAGAGGAGGAAGAGGAGGAGGAGGAGGAGGTGAGAGTTGCGAGGATGTCTCAGGCGAAAGTGGCTTGACGGCCCGAGCTCAGGGAATCTCGGAATCGCTGGCCTGGCTCGGCCACCGGCGAGCTCGGCCTGTGCGAATACTGTGCGTACCTGTGCAGTGCATGTGCGGGACGTGCAAGAATGCCGGGGCCGGCGTTCGTCTCCGGACGCCGGCGCGTTCGCGTCCGGCCAGTTCCGCGTGAGACGTCGTCGGCAATTTGGAGGCCGACGTGCTTTGACATGAAGTGATCTGGCCACCTTCGCCTGAGACATCCTCGCAACTCTGGTCTCGGAGATGCCCTGCCCCATGGTGGCCCGGCCACTTTCGCTTGAGACATCCTCGGGACTCTGGGTTTCGAGACGCCCTGAGCTGAGGTGGTTAGACCACTTTCGCCTGAGACATCCTCGCAACTCTGACCTCAGAGATCTCCTGCCCCATGCTGGTCAGGCCACGGTCGCCGGAGACATCCTCGCAAGGCTCGATTCCGATCTGCCCCGAGCTGAGGTGGTCAGCCACTGTCGCCTGAGACATCCTCGCAACCCTGATTTCAATGATGCCCTGCTCGATAGTGTCTCGGCCCCTTTCGCCTGAGACATCCTCGGAACTCTGGGTTCCGAGACGCCCTGAGCTGAGGTGGTTAGACCACTTTCGCTTTAGACATCCTCGCCCGAGATGCCCTGAGTTGAGCTGTTCAGGCCACTTTTGCCTGAGACATCCTCGCAACTCTGACCTCAATGATGCCCTGCTCCATAGTGTCTCGGCCTTTTTCGCCTGAGACCCTCGCAACTCTGGGTTCTGAGATGCCCTGAGCAGGTGGTCAGGCCAGTCCTGCCTGAGACATCCTCGCAACTCTGGGCTCCGAGATGCCCTGGGCTGAGGTGGTCAGACCACTCTCCCCAGAGACATCCTCGCAACTCTGACCTCAGAGATCTCTTGCCCCATGGTGGTCAGGCCACTTTCGCTTGAGACATCCTCACAACTCAGACCTCGGAGGTGTCCTGCCCCATGGTCGTCTGGTCACCTTGACCAGCGACATCCTCGCCACTCTGGTTTCCAAGATGCCCTGCCCCATGGTGATCCGGCCACGCTTGCCTGAGACATCCTCGGAACTCTGGGTTGCGAAATGCCCCGAGCTCAGGTGGTCAGGCCACTATCGCCTGCGACATCTCTGCGGCATGTGCGGGCATGTGCGTCTATGCTTTCAGAGTTTTGCTTGACCGTGCATTCGACTGTGCGTCGGACGGTGTGGCATGTGCGCGCATGTGCGGCAATGCTGTTGAGGCTTTTGTATATTTGCATGGGCATGTGCATGCGACTGTGCGGCATGTGCCTGCATGTGCGGCCCCTTCCGGACCACAATTTCAAAGTGAGCACTATAGAAGTGAGCGCTATAGAAGTGAGTCCGGTGTAACACCTTAGGGGCGACACGCCATCAGCTTTCAAGGGCGCGACGCGTCGACCTACATTCAGGAGGGGAAAAAACACACAGGCACAATTATTCGTCGATTTTTAGGAAAATATGGGAAAATATGGGAAGTGGGGGGGAAGACGAAAATCCAAAAAATATGGGAAAATATGGGGAGTATTTTTATTTGTGTGTATTTATTTGTGTGTCCTGGGGCCCCTTCATACATGTCCCTCCTCCCTCCCTTGCATCCTCTCCCCTCCCTTCACATGCGCAGGAGCCCTCCCTCGAGGAGCCGCCGTGTTCCCCGCAGGCCTGCTTTGTAGGCTCCCCTCCCGCACAGGGCCCGGGGACGGCGCCTCCCGGCACGGCTCTCCGCAGCGGCTCCCGGACTGCTGCAGTGAGCCCGCCCATGGCCGGCCCCCGGCTCCTGCGGAGAGCCCCGCTCTGCCTCGGCGGTCTGCTGTTTCACTCTTTCTGTCCTCGCTCTCCTCTGCCCCGTCCTCCGCCCTCGGGGTCCACTTTTATCCCCTGGCGCGCAACCGTCGCAGCCCGGGCCCTCTCCCTCCCCCCCCCCCCCGGGCAACGGGAACGACATTGCGTAGAGGGGGGGGGGGGGGCATGCTTGTGGTCGCGCGCACACCGTGGCGACCGCGGCGCACCCCCGGCCCTGACGTGCCCACCCCGCCCGATCGTTTCCTCTGCCCGGCCCCCCCCCTTCCAGGGTAACGAACGTATCTCTCTGGAGGCAGGAGAGGGGTGTGGCATCAAGAGGTGTGGTGACCATCGTGGAGCAAGTTGTGATCTACGGCATACGACACCTCCAGGCTCAGCATTGGCACCACACCCCTTTATTCAGGAGGGAAAGAAACACACAGACACAATTAATCGTCGACTCCCAGGAAAATATGGGAAAATATGGGAATTGGGGGGGAAGACAAAAACCCAGAAAATATAGGAAATTATGGGGAATGTTTTTATTTGTGTGTATTTATTTGTTTGTCCCAGTTTCCCTTCATTTATGCTACGCCTCGTTCCTACCTCCAGAATCTTCTCCACCCTCCTCTCGGGTGCCGTCGATGGAATGCCTCGCCGATCCTTGAGGGTGCCCACCCTGGCCCATGCGTCGGCGTGCACGCTCTTATGGCACCGGCCACGGCGGCGTAAACTCTCCCATCTCGGGCCCGGGGTAGGGCTGGCCAGGACATGGTGATGCGGTCCGTAGACGTCCCCCAGCTCCTCCACCGCGCCTCCTCGCCTCCTGCTCCTCCCCCTCTTCCCTCCAGCTTGCCCTCTCCTGTTTCGGGGGTGGACAGAGCCCCCACCCTGACACGTCGATGAGTGAACTGTCCGTTTTCGGTTCTCGAGAGGGCGCCACAGCCATAATTCTCCAGTCTTGCGCCCGCCAGGTTTGGGTCGGAGGTCGTTTTCACTAGACGACGTTTTACTAAAAGGGGGTCTGTCCATCCCCGACTGTTCCAGTCTGGCTTCCCCCCCTCGGCGTCGTCTTCCTCCGTCCTCCCAGCCTTCCCCGCCTGCCCTGCTCCACTCAGCCTACCATCCTCTCTTCCTCCTCGATTTCCTCTTCCTCCTCCTCCTGTTCCTCCGCCTCCTCCTCCTCCTCCTAGTTTCTTGTCTTTGTTTTTTGTTTCAAGCTTGCAAGAACTCCGGGACGTGTGACATTGGGCATGCACGCGCGTACAGCAACGGGCAAGGCGGGAAGCAGCCCGCGGCGATCCGCTCGACAAGCCTCCGCACACCTAGGCCGACACTCATCGGGCCTCTCCTCCTCCTCCGCCTCCTCCTCTTCCTCCTCCTCCTCCTCCTCCTCCTCCTCCTCTTGCGGGAGGGAGAGGATGATGAGGATGAGGATGAGGATGAGGATGATGATGAGGATGAGGAGGAGGAGGAGGAGGAGGAGGAGGAGGAGGAGGAAGAGGAGGAGCAGGAGGAGGAGGAGGAGGAGGAGGAGGAGGAGGAGGAGGAGGAGGAGAGCTTCCCCCCGCCTCGTGCTCCTCCTTGTCCCTCCTCCCGTTCTCGCTTCCCCCACCCCCTCCGCCCCTGCTTGGGCCACTGGGGCACTCCTGGGGTCGTGGATCGCGACGCCCACGGAGACCCCTCACTGCGACCCACGTTGTAGGTAGCCGCGCTCGCGCGCTCCCGGCGCTTGTGCCAAAACGGGGCGTTCGATCCTGTCCCGTGTTCCCCCTCGACTTCTTTTCCCCGCCCCTTTTTTCCCCTCCCCCCGTCCCCCCCCCCCCTCTCCCCTTTCCCTCTCCCTTCGCCATCCCTCCCCCCTTTCACCCCCCTTCTCCCCTTCCTCGCCTCCCCCCCCCTTTTCCCCTTCCGTCCTCCACCCTCCCCCATACAACCTTCCCCTTCTGCTTCTCCCCCCCCTCTCCCCCCCCTCTCCCTCTCTTCTCTCTTCCTCTCTCTCTCCCACCCTCCCTGCGTCGCCGCCGGCCGCTCCGCGTGCCGCTCCGGCCCCCCCCGAAAGCCCACTGGCCCTGCCTCTTCCACTCCCCCCCCCCCGCACAGGACCTCCCCCCCCCCGACCCTACTGTCGCCTCGCGCTTTTTTTTCCCCCCCCCCCCTCCATCCCTCGCCTCCCCTCCCCCCAGGCCTCCCCCCTCCCGCGGCTCGCTCCCGCATCTCTCTCTCTTTCTCTCTCTCTCTCTCTCTCTCTCTCTCTCTCTCCTTTTTACCTAACAGCGAAGACTGATAGGTTTCTAGTGGTGTCAAAAGAGAGCAGCAGATGACTCCACAGGGGGGTCCGGGCGGGACCCGGGGCGGCTGCCGCCGAAGCCCAAATCGCTTGGGACATCCTCGCAAAATCGCTCTTGGCGCTGCTAGACTCCATTCCGGGCGTACATTTTGGATGCCCGGACTCCATTCCCGGGCCACATTTTGGATGCCCGGAGCCAAATGTAGGCCACTTCGTGCTCTTCACATTTTGGATGCCCGGAGCCAACTGTAGGCCACTTCGTGGTCTTCGAGTTCCCAGAACTCCATTCCCAGCGTACATTTTGGATGCCCGGAGCCAACTTTAGGCCACTTCGTGGTCTTCGAGTTCCCAGAACTCCATTCCCGGGCCACATTTTGGATGCTCGGAGCCAACTGTAGGCCACTTCGTGCTCTTCCACTTCCCAGAACTCCATTCCTGGGCCACATTTTGAATGCCCGGAGCCAACTGTAGGCTACTTCGTGTTCTTCTAGTTCCCAG